GAGCCCGGCCATGCCTTCCCCCCCCTCCCCGCGGCTTGGACCCCCCCCGCGGCCGACTACCCCAGGCATGGTCGGCCTCCTGACAGTCCGACCATGGCCGGGGAAGCCGACCGCGGGGAAGGGGAATCCCGGCGGTGGCCTCTGAAGGACCCTTCAGAAGGGTCCTTCCGAGGCCACTGCAGGCATTTTCCCCCAGCTGAGTGGTGGGAGCGCTCCTTTGGAGGCTCCCACCACTCAGCTGGGGGAAAATGGTGCCTATGGGGAAAACATCGCAAAGCGATTTTTCCCCATAGGCACCTTTGTTATACGATCGCAAAAGCGATGGCATTTTTGCCATCGCTATGCGAATTCGTCGTTAAACGGGGCACTCGTTATACGAGGCACCACTGTATTAAAAAGCTAAAAGCATTAGGTATGCAAGGGTGGTGGGACCCAAGGAAAGACCTCACCTGATGATCTTAAATGCAGGCTCATAGTGGGATATGTGGTCTTTTAGATAGCTTGGACCCAAGCTGCTTATAGGTTAAAACTAGTGTGCCTGGAAACGTCACTGTGGCCAAATTGGACCTGTTAAGGAACACTAGTTTGAAACTGTGCAGAGGCACTCCTGGCCATCGCCGAAACCTGGACATCCAGGCTCAGAGATGAATCCAGGAGCATCCCCAAGCTGTGATTTTCAGAGGGAGTGTCACCTCATTCAGCACAGGCTGCAACGCTATTCCTTGATCTGCTTTCCGACTGACCAGGAGCACCTCTGTCTTGTCATCCAGTCCATGACTGACACCAGGCATGGATCTAGATATGAAACAGCTTCCTTGGATTTAGATGGGAAGAAGAGAGTTGAGTGTCATCAGCATACCGGTGACACTGAGCCCCAAATCCCCAGTCTATTTCTCACGGCGGTTTCATGTAGAAGTTAAATAGCATAGGGGGCAAAACAAGATCTTTGATGACATCACAGGCCAAATGTCAGGGTATTGAACAGGAGTCCCCCAGCACCACCTGCTGGCTTCTCCCTTCCAGGAAGGACCGGAGCCACTGTAAAACAGTCCCATCCCAGAGAGAGGGCCCAGAAGGATATCATGGTCGGTGTTGAAAGCTGCTGAAAGGTCCAACAGGACCACCAGAGACACACTCCCTCTGTCTAGTTCCTGGCATAGATCATCCACCAAGGTGACCAAAGCAGTGTCCGTCCCATTTCCAGGCCTGAAGCATCTCATCCAGGACGATTCGTCTCATCTACCCCCCTGGAGCTGAGAAGCCACAACCTGCTCCATGAATTTGCACAATAATGAGATATTAGAGACTGGCTGGGAATTATTCAGTACTATGGAATCCAAGGGGGTATTTTTTCAATAATGGTCTTACTACTGCCTCCTTCAAGCAAACTATGTTGTATGACTATAATGGAAAATCTTAACGATGATATTAATTGGGAAGGAAATTATTAGAATGAAAGAATGGGTAAAGAAGATGAATGAAAAGGAGCGAATAAGAGATATTGGAAGAAGAGTAGATTTCACGGCTAAATATACTTGGATAACTGGACAAAGGATTAGAAAACAAAGGAAGGAGAGGGTAGACAGATGGTGAAATTTCAGAAAATTTTGAAACCAGAGAGAAAGCAAAAACTACTCAAAATAGGAAAGGGACAATAAGCGTAATATCATCGTTTAGTCGTGTCTGACTCTTCATGACCCCATGGATCAGAGCACGTCAGGCCCTCCTATCTTCCACTGCCTCCCGGAGTTGAGTCAAATTCATGTTGGTTGCTTCGCAGACACTGTCCAGCCATCTCCTCCTCTGTCGTCCCCTTCTCCTCTTGCCCTCACACTTTCCTAACATCAGGGTTTTTTCTTCTCTTCTCATGAGATGGCCAAAGTACTGGAGCCTCAGCTTCAGGATCTGTCCTTCCAGTCAGCACTCAGGGTGGATTTCCTTTAGAATTGATAGGTTTGTTCTCCTTGCAGTCCAGGGGATTCTCAAGAGCCTCCTCCAGCACCACAATTCAAAGGCATCAATTCTTCAGCGGTCTGCTTTTTTTATGGTCCAGCTCTCACTTCCATACATCACGACAGGAAAAACCATAGCGTTGACTATTCAGACTTTTGTTGGCAAGGTGATGTCTCTGCTTTTTAAGATGCTGTCAAGGTTTGTCATCGCTTTCCTCCCAAGAAGCAGGCGTC